TTTACATCTTTAAATGAAAAGTTGAAATACCGAATTGGTCTCAATTATTTGTTAAAATATTTCCTTAAATGCCTGTAAGACATTGTTCGTCTATTTGCTAAAATACTTCTCCCCACGTTAAATTGCACCCTCCATCCTCAACCAACGCCGGAGCCCCGTCGGGATGACGAGCCCCGTTGTCTCCACGGCTCAACAAGCCCTCCCTGGCCAGTCAGTGCTGGTCCAGTTCATCAAGAACAAGGTTGTGGACTACACCCTCGTCTTTCTCCTCCTCGTGGGCTTGCTTTACATCATCTGCTGCCTATCCATCGACCAGAATTTCCTTACCAAAAAGTCCGTTTGGCAAACCAACCGCACGTCAACCGTGGTAACTATTGATATCCATCTTTACGATTGTAATAGAAACTCATCTCTAGTTCTCTTTCATGTCCAGAATTTCCCAGGGCTTATTTTGAAGTCCATTTTAGGAGATGGTTCTTTGTTTTTCAGGAAAAAGAAAAAAAAACGCTGGAGCAGGTTGTGTTCGTAAACTTATTTTTGCAGATTTTACAAAACGCCTATCCATATTTTGACAAACTACAAGTTTATGTTTGGATTTGTCAATAGACATTCCCTTTTGGGAACAAAAAATTGTTTTCAGAATTGTTAGGAGTTATTTTAGAACCATTATGAAAATAATAGAGTTTTAAAGATATTGATTGTTATTTATTTTTGAAATTAACAAAAAAAAAATTAAACAAAATTCAAGGCGAGAAAATTTGAATTTCTAATGATTTATAGAAGTTCGGGAACTGGAACTAAACTCTTCCAGTTCGTGTTTGCATTGGTCGCTGAACTGAATTAGGTTAAATGGATGTCTCCAGTTCAACATGACAGTCTACAGAGATGAGCTCGACGAAGCATTGGCGCAGGCCTCGACTGAGCACAAGACGGTGATGTCACGACCTGGAAAATGAAGCTGTGACCAGCATATGCTCTAAGTTTTATTAGATGCTATCTTTAAAAGTAGTGATTTCACCTCTCATAAAAAAATTAGACTCGCACCCTTTGTAACGTTGATTTTTAGGTGGATATATATTACAAGAAAAAATTAATATATTGTGTATATTATGTAACATATTTGGACTAGACTGTCAATTTTTAGTTCACTGCTATTTGGACAAATCTAAAATTTTTCAACTTTTAAATAGGTTAAATATGAGATAAGCTCAAGGGAATTTTAAGAAAAAATTCCCTTGAAGTGCTACCACCTCAATTAGCCCTATTCACAATTTCAACCCGTCTTGTGAAATAGCCTGAACTGGACCATCAATTTCTAATCCAATACGATTTTGAACCGGAAGTTTTTACAGTTCAGTTAAGATTTATAATCTTTTAAACCTAAAACCAGAATTAGAATTATCGCAAAACTGACAAATCAAAACTGGAATATAATCATGACCCGAACCATAAGTAAAATGTGAGTATTAAACATGAACCAAAACCATTAGTAAACTGTGAATTAGAATTGCAAGTAAACAATGACGATTCAATCGTGAAACAGAATCATAAAAAATTAATTTTTTTTCTTTTTAGATATAGAAGAAAGATTTTTACTTGCTTTTTGAGTATAAATTTATACAACCTATTTTTTGAATGTGAAAGAAAAACTTATTTTTAGATATAAATTTATTTAAGACACATTAAATTTAGGCTTTTGATTTTTTTGGATTTTCATTTCAATTTTTGCTTTTAATTTTGAAGTTCAAACTAGGATTTTTGCTGATCTGTTTTGTTTTAGAAATTTTGTTTTCCTTCATTTATTCTTTTGATATATGTTTTGAGGTTTGAATTGTTGTTATTTTGCCAAAATTGTTGAATTGGACTTTGTTTTTGCCTTTTTGGATTTGTTAATGTTCTAAATTTAATTGGTTTTTAGGTAGAATTTGAATAATCATGTGTGAGATGCAATTTTGTTTGATCAGTTAATAGTATTAAATTTATGTTATTATTCAGTTTTACACATAATCAAATCGATCGAATAATACTGATATCTATTTGCATATTTGTTTTAATGCCTTCATCCAAGTGATTATGAGAAAAGCCACACTTAATATTTCAGTAAATATATATAGCATTTAAGTTATAGCTATCTATCTAAATTATTAATATTTAATTAGTAATCTTAAGAACTAATGCTTCTTTTTTTCTTATGAAGATTATAAACTTCAGGCTAAGCAATTGCTTGCCTCCACGCTGAATTTCTCCTAACAATACTGATCCTAACTACAGTAGCACTGAACAACAAATATAGCTTTAATAAGCTCAAAGTGTGACAATCAGCATGTTTTGAAAGGTAAGAACCCTCTGTGATTGTGGTAAGAGCTTTTAGCATTTTTTATTGAAATCCTTTTTTCCTTGTATTTATGAAAGAACTGAACTAACTAACTTTTTCAACTAAGAATAGAAATAACAGAAATAAATAAACTTCTTTTAGGCAGCAAAATCCAATTAAGTACCAAGCTCTAAATCTGAAAAAAAAAATAAGAATGAGTCTATAGACCTAGTAAATAATAATAGGTATATATGAGAATAAAGGACATGTATAATATTTAAGATCAAAATATTTTACTTACATTTTTCAGAAACCTTATTGTATAACAAATCATTTATGAATATCAGAAATTTTTTCAGTGTAACCGATCATTTTTATGTATCAGGAAAACCTTTTTGTATAACAAATTATTCATAGATATTAGAAACTTTTCAGTGTAATAGATCATTTTCAAATATCAGAAATCAGAATCTTAAGGAGTTCGTAATGCAGAACATAACATATATCAGAAAATAGGACGACGACACACAGTTAGCTGATAATTAGGGCAGCGACACATAGTCAGTCGGTAAATAGGACGGCCACACACAGTCAGCCGGTAATAAGAATGGCAACATATCAGTCTACCCAAATAATAGTATGACAATAAATCAATATATTTGAATAATAGGATGGTAACATATCAGTCTGTCCAGATAATAGAATGATAACATATCAGTTTGCCTAGATAACAGAACAATAGCATATCAGCCATGCCAATAAATAGAAATTAGAAAGTCCAGTACGATAACTCCTACTAGATGGGGACCCGAACATGGTGTAAATCAGTTTAACACTGATAAACATAAATCAGGAAGTCTAACACCATCACCCCTACTAGATGGGGACCCATACATAGAGCAAATTAGTCTAACACTCATGAATAGAAATCAGGAAGTCTAGCACCATCACCCCTGCTAGATGGGGACTCGTACAGGGTGCAAATCAATCTAACGCATATTGTTGTTAGTTACAATGTTCTAAAATCCGAAACTCCCTCCAAAACAATTTTCTAGAATTAACAGAATAATTTACTAGAACTTTCTATTTTTTAGAATAAACTGAAACTATTTAATAGAAATTTTTAGAATCAAACAAAATCAGTTTAACATAGTTTTCCATATGTAGAGTCAAACATAATTAATAGATATTCATTTCCAAACAATTTCAGTAATTCCATACATGTCCCTTATTTCACTATTAAAATAGAATTTTATCAAATTTTCAAAAATCAGATATATTATTTAAAATAAGAGTTTATAACAATTATGAAAAATAGTAAATGCTCATAAATGCACATTATTATTCATAGAACGACAAAAACTAAGAAGTCCAATCTTTGACAATATGGCTCTCAACAAGTATCGTACAGACAATTTAAAATCATAAAATAATAAATGTCTTAATTTATGTCTCTAATATATCTAAGAATCGTATACCTGAAATTTTTTAATCAAGGAACCAAATAAAATTTTAAGTTTTCGTGCCCAAACCCATACCAAGGCCGCTAAAGTATCAAATCAATCAAATAAGTCATAAACCGAGTGCCAAAGTCATGAACCAATCTTATAAAACATAAAACCAGTTTATTTAAGCCCAAAATTATCATTTAATACGCTGAAGCGGCCATTAAGAGGTTGAACCGGCCTTTACATCATTGAACTGGCCTTATATCAATTTTTGTCATATTGAACCGGCCTTGAACCAGTCTGAAAACCATTGAACCGGCCTTAAAAATCACTAAACCAGTCCCATATATGCTGAATCGGCTGGTTTGATGTTTATTTTCCTTTGAATCGAGTTTAAAACAATGTTATTTTCATTCAATCGGAATTAAACTAATTAATTTAAAATTTTATCTAATTTATTATGCTTTGAACTGAAAACAAACCAGTTGAGATTCATGTGAACCGGCCTTCTTTTTGTTCCTGTTTAATTTATTTCTTCTTTCTTCTTCTTTTTCTTTTTTTCCTTCCTGATCCGGATATTGGATCCGGTTTTAACCCGGAAGCCCAATTTCCCTTACCCCGTTTTTAGTCACAGACCCAAGTAGCCACTCGGGTCTGTCGTTTGCACCTAGAAGTCTACATCCCATATCCCTTCAAGTTTGAGTTACATACCTCCTTTTTTGTTCAATGGCTAGGCTATATAGTAGTTGACGACTGAGAGAGACCAATTAATTACTGACAATTGGCTGGAGGAAAGGTTGTATTCCGGTGAATCTGCAAACGGTTGGATTGCAGGCGTTCAGGTAGTTTTTTTCTCAATTTCTCATGTTTCAACATCCAAGTTGTTGAAATTGAATTGGGGATTTCGATCTTCCAGTTTATATGAATAAGAGGATATGCTCGATTTGAAATTTATTTGTGAAATTTCTGGAATATTTGGTCAGATTGTATTAATGCTTCTGGATTTATAGATTTGGGGATGATCCGATTGGATCTTCTATAAAATTTACAAATTAGTCTCCTATCTTTTGATTTTGTGCAATTTAATCTCTCATTTCCTGATTTTGTTTGATTTAACTCCTTTTTTTTTTCAACAATTGGACTTCCAATCTCTTTCAAGTGAGTCATTTTTAAGTTTATAAATTCAAATAATATCCAAAAAATTACAGGTGATCATTGCGGTTGCGAGCAGGGCATACATGGAGGGAGACGAGCTGATGCTAGATCTGTTCGTGGACAGTTTCTGGTACGGGGAGAACACACAGGGGCTGACGGACCACCTGCTGATCGCGGTGCAGGTTCCTCCGACTTCATTGCTACAAGTTGGAAACGGAGCGCGTGGAATTTTCGATCGAGAAGCTGTACACGTCGGAGGATTTTATCAAGATGACGTGGAGGAGGATGCAGTTCTTGGGAGATGTATTGAAGCGCGGCTACAATTTCATCTTCACGGTACTTCTTCTGTTTCCTCGTGTGGGCCGGGCATGCTATCAATTGGGTCGGGTTGATTTAGGACAACAATTCCTAGGCCCGCCTGCCATCGGCTATAATTTTGGGTCACCCTCGCTTGCCAATCAGCCTCTTTAAATTTTGGCGTGTTAGGTGACTGATTATAATTAAATATAATAAAATTTATGATACATATTACCTAACCATTTTACTTAACACCTACTAGCTATTACGTTGAGGAATTACTTAACAATTTTATGTTAGATAGTCGGGTAGGCGAATTAACAGCTATTAGCTATTTTTTACGGTTTTCAACTCGTAAGAAGGAGAATTTCAACATTAGAGAAATTATAAAGTAACCAATGTCATTCATCCTTCTTAAATTTGAAATTATTACAACTATATGAGCTTTAGAAATGAAAAACGTGGAACATTGTTAATTTAGGTAAAAGAATATCTAAGATTACGGTGTGTTTAATTTATACCCTATAAGTAAATATCTATCGTACTTGATTAGTTATTTTTTTTAAATTTTTATATTTTAAAATTAATTTTATTCAAAATATCATTGTTATTTCTATTTAAAAACATTTTTTACTCGTTAAATTAGTAGTTTGACTTGTAGTCTAATATTCAAATAATTGTAATCATGGGCGCGTATCTTATTCAATCATTTATTAGTACAATGTAACAGATATAAGGAGATTATTAGTTGGTTTTCTTAGTAAATAGATTTGACTCTTAATATAATAATTAAAAACACAAATTATCTTTTGTTTGGGTCGGACACCTAAGCTTAAATTATTTTATAATTACGTTTTCCAACTACCAGTAATTGCAAGCCACCTTGGCTAGCAGACTCATCGCTTGAAATTATTTTATAATAAATGTTTTCACATATATCTTTTCAATATGGTTTCAATAAGCGAAAAAAATAATTTTCTTTTTATACCCTTTTCCTTTTATGATATATTCATGTTACATCCAGCATAAATATGTTATTTGTTTTATATATGTAAATATACACGCATTTTCTCGGTAATATATTTTTAAAAATCATACTTGACATTAGATTAAGCCGTACATGCCTTTTCTTTTCTTGCAACAAGCGGTGGTCGCGAATTAAAAAGTTTCGATTAGTAACGGGATGAGTCGAAAGTTTCACGAGCTCTTGTATTATTTTATTTGGTTAAATTATATATATTAAAATATAATTAAATAATTTTTAAACTTATATTATATTAATAAAATATATAAAATAAAAATATATAAATCATTTGTAATTTTTATATATTTTATAAAAATTTTAAGTATAAATTATTTAAAATAAAAATATATGTTACTAATATATAGAAATTTCGAGGTCTAGAAACAACTTTCCTATTCCTACTGTCACCCGGTTTTTGAAAGCCCAATTTTTTTTTTCTCCTAAATAACCCCGTAACCAGTCTATTTCCTTTCAGAAATAATAAGTCTCTTCTCTATTTTACAGGTCACCAAAACGTCACATTTTGGCCCGCGTGTCCTCATTACAGAGTCACACACCCACATGCGCCTTAGGCCGTGTCCCACGCGCCCTGAGCTTCTGCCATGCACCTACACGCGCCCTGGTCTTTAGTCTCGCGAGACTGTTCCTCCTCCACGCGCCTTAAGCGACATTATCACTTACACGCTCTCTGATCTTTGCAGGCGCCTTTCCTCCTCGCTTCTGTAGTTCGATTGTTCGATTGGCGAATAACGAGGCTCCTTCGCCGGCAATCTTCCAGTCCAGCTTGTTGGAACTAGAGAAGGGTGTAGGCAAGCTGGACGGCCGATCTCCTCCATCTTTGGCTCTTGTAGCTCTACGTCGAACCATTCGGTGTACAGAGGTCTGCCGATTCTCGAGCTTTGTCAACAAACCCCGGGAACACAAACTGATCACTAGAGAGGGGGGAGCAGATGAAGAAGACGAGGCAAGCACAACATAGGATTACGGAAGAATCTCACAATTTCCCAACCTTTATTAATCCCTTTCAGATTTCAAAGGAAAGCTCTCCGTCACTGATTCTCTCTTCTCTCGGCTGAAACTCTTCTGCCGAACCAGAGAGGAAGAAGAGCTTTATATAGGCACTTAGATCCTCTCAATCCTAACTCCTTTCTTTCAGATAACAATCCTCATCCAATAGGTATGAGCCCGTACAGCTCAATCTACCCTAATCTTGGATTTATCTTGAACCTGGCCCATATCCGCGCTAGGTTCATCTAATTTGGGAAATCTTTGGCTAGTTTGATCAGTGAGCCATTAGAGGAGACTCGGTGATGTCTGATTGTTTCTCGCCAATTCTGTTGCATACACGAATTTTGCGCACCACAATCCCCCTTCTAACTTTGCCTCGCTTCTGGCAGAAATGTCCAGGAAAACCTCACCAGTCAGACTTTCGATCCGGCTTTTCCAGGATCAGTTCTTTTCCCCAGCATCGTCGTTGGCTTCTGGCACCGTCGTCAATGTCGTTTGGCACTGCGGTCTCTTTGTGAGCTCGACGAAGCTCCTTTGTAAGCTTCTAGGTTCTCCCATGGCTTCTAACCCGAACAGCTAGCCCATGACCCGTTAGTCTGCGACTTGACCCAACTCCAGCCTGCTCTCCCTCTTGGACTTGGCTCGCCTGCTTGGTCGAAGGCCAGCAACCCATTCCGCAATCAGTTTGTTTTATTGGCCCATCTCTACTTGGCCTGCCCGGGCAAACATTAGCCAACCCAACCCAATCCTACTTGGCTTAGCCCAATGGGAATGGGGTAATATCCATATTCGACCCGATCCACCGACATGTCTCCAACCTCCTTCGGCGTCAGTCCTTGTCGCCGGGCATCATTCCTCGTGTTTAGCACCGTTGCCTGCTTCTTCTAGCCTTGCCAGTGTGCTCCTGAGCCTTGACAGAGAAGCCTGAAAGCTTCCCTGCATCCCATACCCGAATAACCTCCCTAACTCGACTTGGCAACCTGACTTCCCTCTGCATCTGTCCGACCCACTTTTCCACTCCAGACTCGGCCCACTTGGGTCGACTTGTTAAGCTGATCCAAGCCCGCACGTCCTCGCCGCCGCCCCACTGGCTTTCGGCCAACCCACAGCCTGCTGGGTTGGCCCAGGTGGGGTCCCAGTGACAACAAGAGTGTCTGGTTTGGTGGTTTTCTAGGTTTTAAATTATAATTTAATATTTGAATTTTTTATATTTAAATTAATTTTTGCAAAATAAAATTTATAACCTCACTTTTTTTATTTAATAAAACACAATTTAAAATGAAAACAAAACTAGTTGGCTGGGAAAAACAAAAAGGAGAAAACAATTTATTAATTTTAAGGCATTTTAGAGAGTTTAAAGTCAAACACATTACAAACCAAAAAAATAAAACACCGTTTGTACAATAATTCCGACGTGTGGGCTTCGCCTTCGTCTGAGATCACCAGAGAGCATACGCATGGTTTTCCGCCACGTGGGCGGAAGTTGGTTTCAGGCCATGGTTGTTAGAAATTTCCGTCACCTGTCCAAACATTAAACATTTAAAATTAATTTTTTAAAATTTTAGAATAGATTTTAGTTATTTATACAAGCATAAATAATTCAAATTTGAGTGAAGTAAGATTGATCTGAAAAAGTCTCAAGATGAGGCGTTGGTGAAATTTATTAAACTGTTGGCGCATAGCAAACTTTATTTATTTATTTATTTTTGTTGGGAGTGGAAGAAATTTAAAATTCAATGACTTTGTAGGATATGGATGTAATTTGGCTGAGGAACCCCAACCCCTTCACTAGGCTGAGCTCAAAATGAGACGACCGACTTGCAAGTCAGCGTCGATGAATTCAACGTTGATGGTCTCTCCCAAGCCATCCCCATTAACACTGGCTTCTACATGACCCGCTCCAACAATCACACCATCTCCCTCTTCAAACACTGGTATGGCCGGAAGAATGCATCCAAAGGCATGAAGGAGCAGACGTGCTTCAGCAGCTTGTGCATGAGGGCATGTTCATGCACTTGGGCCTTCAAGTGAGGTTCTTCGACACGCTCTTCTTTAGCGGATTTTGCCAAGATAGCCGTGATGTCAAAGCCGTCGTCACTGTCCACTCCAACGGCTGTTGGAGCATCGGTGCCAAGGTGGTTGATCTGACCGCTGTGCTCCATAGCTGGAAGGGGTGGAAGGCGGCAAAGAGAGAATTCGGCAATGTGACGACGTCGTTTCAGTGGCCGCTTCACACATCCTGCAGAAATTCGGGGAGATGTCGGCGTTAATTAGTAGCAATTATAGTCATAATTTTGCTATATTTTCTTTGTTGCATTAGATTTTGAAAACTTCTATTTTGTATGTTTTGAATTTTATATACCAAGACGGGGGTTTTGGATGAAAACAGTTCGGTTTATAGAAAATTATTATAAATTAAGTTAAAAAATTCATATTTTAAAACAGCCTTTAATAATATAGGTTTATAGAATATCATATTATATATTTAACAAGTCAGAAATATAAAAAAAATTAGATAAATGTAAAATTATAAAGTTTGGGGGTCAACAATAACTTCTAAATAAAAAGATAGATTTATTCATTTATTTTAAATAATGTTATAAAGTATATTCCATATTTATAATTTTTATTCGTGCTAAAAAGGACATTTATGACAATTAATGCTTCAAAAATCACATTTATCATTTGATTTAACGAAGCTACTATCAAGAAAGTGTATTAATTAAAGTAATTTGCTTTGAAATTAATGACAAGTAGAATCATTCCAGAGCTAACAATGAGCTTTTGATAACTAAAAAAAACATGCTTTAGTTATGCTTGACATGCTAAGTTTCAGTTTCAATTTATTTAATTATAGAAATAGAATCATGTGTAATTTTATTATGTCTTTCTTCATAGTTACACGTCTTGTCCCTTTACATAATGATATATATATATATATATATATATTTGTAACAAAGGGAGTCGAAGCCTAAAGGAAAACAATACAATTATCATGGAGTGGAAACTCTCGATTCGTCAATCCTCAAAATGTCTCTCAAGTCCCGAGGAGGAAAGCCAACTCTTGTTTACCTAGTATAGAGTGTAAGCTTAATTTAGCAAGAGCATCCGCATAGATTTGACCTATCTTGTGACATAGTTA